GACCGATGCACAACTCAGGAACAAGTGTTTTTCAGGCAGAAAATATCACCTCTATACAAGCTGGGTTCCCACAGACTTCATGTTCCTCCCAGCAACTGACAGATCAGACCCAAAAAACTCTTCTCTCAAAAAACTTCCCTTAACCGATCACGATACGGTCGGCTCAACTAACCCTCTGCTCCCCGACGAGTTTCTGCTCTGCCACCAACTGCATTGTTTCTACACTAACTCCCAAGGTTTCCTCAGCAAATTTTCAGAGGTAGGACTGCGTTGCCAAACTGGTCAATGGGACATTATTGCAGTCATTGAAAGCTGGCTGACAACCGATATTCTGGACTCAGAATTCAGCTTACCCGGCATGACTCTGCTCAGACGCGATCGACCTACAAGGGGTGGTGGGGTGTTACTCTACTTTAGCAGCAAACTACAATGCGAAGTAATTGATTATCCTGCGGCTTCTGACTCACTGTAGTGCAATGTGCGACTGGTGCAACACGATATCGGCTTGATCGGTGTGGTGTACCGCTCTCCCTCATCCACAGACTCAGCCAATGAGACACTATTGCAAACTATGTATCAAATTCTGTCACTGAAGTTCACACATGTTCTCATTATGGGTGACTTCAATTGCTCCAACCTAGATAAATCAGCGACCTCTCTACAACCGTTTGAGAGGAAACTTGCACAGCTCATGGAATCCTATCCACTTTACGATTTTGCGAAGGAGCCCACGAGGTTTGGAGCCAACCAGTCACCTTCGGTTTTGAACCTAGTGTTAGCTAACGAGGAACTGATGGTGGAAACGATTTCCACTGCAACTCCGTCAGGGCGTAGTGATCATGCTGTGCTGACGTTTGGTTACATGTGCTATGCATCCGTACCGCACAATTCTACGGTTAGCTCCCGTATGTTTGTGGACTACACCAAACTTAAAATTTTGGAGAGAGATTTCCAATGGAAATTTCCCAACGAACAGTGTGATCCCCTGGTATCCTGGGAAGAGTTTACATACCACCTGATGGAAATGGTGAAAGGCGCGACGAAAACCAAGCACATCACCTATTCAACTGGTCAAAGATCAGCGATTGGAAGTCGGACGAAAAAGTGGATTTCGCAGAGGAATATCTCATGGAGAACTTATAAATGATCTCCTTGCAACAACACATGGTATACCTACTGTCAAGTCCGAAACCACTGCACCAGGTTGGCGCGAGAAGACAAGTTAATACACCAAGAAATGCTCATACGCAAGTTCACATCAAATACCCAGCTGTTGTACAAACACATAAATGCCACCAGAAAAGTTAAGTCTAGTGTTCCAGCGCTAAGAGTGGCAGAACCTGTTTCAGTCACAACAAAGGAGGCAGCCAAAATGATAAAATGTCAGTACGCTTAAGTGTTCACCGCAGCTGAGAACACCAGACTACGACTGCCTCTGTTACACTGACTCTGTTACATTAAGGACCTTCCCATCCCTCCCAACTTTATCGCCTGCAAGTATGCTGATGATGTGGTGGTTGGCTGTCCCTCAACTGTTCCTAATTGTTTCTCTCAACTTCAAGTTTGTCTCAATAACATTTTTAGTTGGTCGACTCCCCGATCTTTATTGCTAAATGTAGATAAATGTGTGGATGTTTCTTTTAGTCTTAAAACAGGC